TGTTATACACTGACTCGTAGCCTCTAGCACATGCACTGTAGTTTCTGAATAAACAGATATGATGAGGAAAAAAATGGGCACTAAGAATAGACTAAATCAAGGAATTGTGTGTTTTGCCCCTGACAGATCACTGTGGAGGTTGAAATTACACTGAAAGGCAGAGGTTGCAAACTATAGAGATCCTCACTGGTGCAGAGGAAGTCAGTGAAACAGGATATGTATTGGTCAGCTCTTTTCTGACCTAAAGGTCAGGAATCTCTATAGAGCATTCTTTTTATAGGCTTAGATATCCGTGACCCTGCATATTGTTCAGTCTATGTAATTCATGCTCTCAGAATGGCTTTACTTATAGCAGCGCTAGTGGGGCAATTACTTTGGTCCATATTAAGCTCATAACTGTGTAATGAATTGCTATTAAATTATGTACAGGCAATTACAGCCCCCAGTGGATGAATCCTACTGTCTTCCATGTCACTATTTGATGTGTTTCATAGTGGAAAGATACTATATTGACAAAAGCATTGGACCACACCTCTTTATCTTTTAATTCAGGTGTTTTTAGTTCCATTGTATAAAAATAAAACGTATAAAATCAAGTATAAATCAAAATCAAACACCTAGCCATGCAGTCTGCCAAAATTTTGTCACTGATTATTTTAAAGAATGTCGCCGCTGCAACCAATTTGTGAAATTTCTTTCCTCATAGATAGTCAATGAGTTACTAAGTGGTGTTATTGCAAAGTCGAAGCGTGAGTCTTGAAGTAGCAGAGCTTTGACATCATAGAATTCCAAACTTCTTCTGACATTAACATCAGCACAAAAACTGCGCTCTGGGTGCTTCATAACATAGGTTTCCATGTTCAAGCAGCTCCAGTAGGTGTAACGTGAAGGTAACTTGGTTCCTGTTTCCTTATAGTGTACCTCTTGATTGATTTGGCATTAAGTACACAGATTTATGTTTCCACAGGATCAGCTTCATTAGTCTTACAACTTTAGTAATACACATCTGACATGCCTGTGCAGGTTCTCAGTCATCCAGCTCGTGGTAGTCTAAGGAGCTTGGAAAGAAAACGGCTGGACTCCTTTAAGTTTCATTCAAGCAACTTAATGAAGTCCAGTCACTCTCTTTCCAAGCTCCTTAGACTTTAGTGATTCACTTTTTATTTGTCGACATCTTAAAACTAATATTTAATAATTTAATATTTCAATTAGTCCTGTGTTAATGGTTTGGGCCCAAATCCTTGCAAAACTGCTGGGATCTCTTTTACTGCTCTTTATTTGATAAGATCGTTGATAAGATCAAGAACAAGGTAGAAACTACAGCTGTTATCTCTCAGCATGTTGCCATGCTTATTGGGAACATGTGGCTGACTTTAGCTTAAAACACAGTCACATTGCTTCTAGCATAGCTGCATATTTTTAGGTTTGCTTTGAATCAGCATGAGAGGATGATTAAGAGCTCATCATTTTCATCTCATAATCAGTTCAAGCAGTCACGTATTGCGATTTTGATCAAAGGAAATTTCATACGACACAAAATCTAATTAGTATTTCAGAAAATTCATTCATGTTTTCATACAATAGGCTAAAGGCAATATCACCTTTTGGGTTGTGTTCTCCTTTTGAAGCCTATTTTGTAGCATCATGGCCATTGCCATCTTGGATTTTTGGAACCAAAAATAAATATATGTGAATCAGAAAGTGGAATGCTAAGTTACTGGTTAATGCTTGGCAACTGCTATCTGTTAATTAATGCTAAACAACATACATGTAAACTGCTAGAATTTAACACACTAAAACTGAAGAAACAGCTTCCTGGATGTTGCTGAGGTGGCACTGCAGACTATTTAAAACATGGACGAAGTTGCATTGATAACATCACAGACATATAACATCTATTGGTTTGTAAAGTCCACCGCATGCTCATATAGTAGCCATTTGCCGATGAAATCCATCAAAATGAGCATCATAGCGCACTATGTCAAACTCATTAGGAAAGTGCTTACTGAGCTGAGGGCTATTTTTCCATAGGAGTCTATGCATGCAGACTTCTTTGTGCAACTAGTGGTCATCAGAGATAATCCAGGTTTAAAAGACTTCCACACAGGCTTCACATTTAGGCCCAGAAGCTATATTGATCTTTTATATACAGTCTTTAGGAAACCATTATTGCACTGCTATCCCAGTTAACATCCAGCTCTGGCTTTAAACCTTATCACTTAACATAGTTTAAACAGGTCAGTAATTAAAAAAGGGGAAAGAAATCAGTCATTACAGTTGACATAAAGGTGGAAATTAGCTATGGAGACTAAATGAAATTTCTGCTCTGTAGTTTATTTTAACATGGAAGTCCATGTAGATTGGTTCTTTCTTCCTCTTCCAGTTTTTAAAAACTTGCCATTCAAGGAATTGCAATTCATGCCACTCCTGTATTAGCTTAATTTTCAGCTATGTGGAGTAACTGATTTATACAGATATGGTCCGATACAGGTAAGATCATCATATTCAAAATTATATTAAATGCAAACAAATGATTTCTTAGTAATCTATTAAATCTAACATGATAAGATCACTGCGTAGAGTCAGTAGCCCTTGCTCCTCCCCAGCCTTGATGACAATGTGTTTTTAATGAACATGGTAAGATGAGCGTGCAGGGCCAGTTTGTAGTGTCAACACCAACAGCAGGGAGAGAGAGAGAGTGTCAGAGTGTGTGTCTGCAGCGGGACGAGTCAGGCTTCAACAACCTGACAGGCTGTGGCTCATTAAACCCCCATCAGACGCAGGAGGTCAAGACAACAACTACATCTCAGGCAACACACGTTAGGCAGAAACACAACGCAACTGTGTAGTTCCAACAGAATACTGCTTTATACCTATGAGTGGTTTTATTTTAAGCTTTTTAATCTTTACTGTTGAGACGTTCCCAGAAATCTTTAGATAAATCATGAAAAGACCAACGGCTTATAGACTTATTATTCAGGGACGATGCAGATGTTGTGTACAATATGATTAAATGGAAAAAGTTGCTTTTGTTTGTATTCTGGCCTCACGCCACCCTTAATGCACGCTGTATTGCTGTGTTTTCTGTGTGGGCGGATGGCTGGCTGACTTCGGAGAAGCAGGTCGACAGTGTAGCTGCAGAAGGTTTCACAGTGGGGTAGAGAGAGGAACTGGGGGCACTGTTTGGCAAGACTGAAGCGATAAGCATAATTTCAGGCTGAAATATGCCGGCGTAAACAACGCTACTTGTTTGATTGTGTTTAATTCAAGTGTGCTTGAACAACAGTGACAGGCTGTTATTCCAAAAAGAAATGTGTGTTTTGGGGTTCAACTATTTCTCTAGTTTCACCTAAGCTGAAGTCCTACAAGGTCAAATAAGTGAGTCCTACGCCAGCCCTCAGGCAGGGTGGCGCCTCTCGATCTCCATCTGACCTCTGCTTTTCCCTTTTTCTCTCCTCTCCTGTTACTCACTGAGTGCACTGCAAAAACACAAACAACCCATCTGTATTTCTGGGTTTCATGGTTCTGTTTTTTATAATTCAATCTTATTTAAAAAAAAAAAAAAAACCCACACCAGGGACCTCCCTTCTTTAACTGAGCAGCAGCAGAGGATGGAAGAGGATCTCTGTCAGATCTGCAAGTCGATTTGCCAGTCAGCTGGAAAGGATTAGAAATATCCTGTCCTTCTCTCACTCTTTGAAGCAGACTTACTAGGTCTGTTGGGTCAGAGGACCCTAGGGCCTCCCTACTAGCTCTGGGTCTGCCTAGCCAGGGGTCACCACAGCCTTTTAAGAGGATTGCATCTTGGTGAAGTGAAGTGTAATGGCTTATTTCCTGGCCACACTGGAAGTGGAAATCAGTAGTATCCATTTGGGATATTTTATTTAAGCTAAATTGACTTAGTGGAGGTGTTCCAAAGTAAGTAAGAAATATGCTTAATTGTGTTTGATGAGAAGATTGATATCACCATCATGTTGCTATGGTAATTATGAAGCCTGAGCCGGGGGGTAGGTAGCTTAACTTAGCATAAAGACTGGAAACTGAGGGCAAAAGCCTGCCAAACGCTGCCCAAAGGAAATTAAATCTGCCTGCCTGACTTCTAAAGCTTTTATTCCACACATTGTGTTTGTCTTTTTGATTGTGATATAGTGTCTTGTGTGGCTCCGTCTTACCGTGTATTAAGGTGACAATGCTGCTCTGATAATGTCAGAGGAACATTGTCTGTTCTCTGGCAGTGCAGCTGTCACATCCGGGACAACTCAAACAAATCTTCACCGTGCCAGCTACATCCTCCTGCACCCTCCCACCCCACCCAAACACACAGCTGCTCTCTAGGAAATGTGTTTTAACAAAAAAACAACAACCCAAAACTGTATTTCAGTACAGCTTTGCCTTATTATTTGTCTTCTTTACCGTAACCAGCTGCAATTAGTGGACAAAACATCACCCTAGCAGAGCGTAGGAGAATCTATCCATGGGAAAATAAATGGCGTGGTTATTGATGATCTAGAAAACGTATGGATAAAGACAAGTATGTGAAAATGGATTCTCATACCTCCATCAAACTCACACTCGATTTTTCCCATGTGACTGTGGCTGTGCACTCATGGCCGTGCTGCCTGTTTACACATAAATAAAACGTCAGCCAAGAGCACAGTGAGCATGAGGGAAAGTTTCTCTCAGTCTTTTGGCTGGACAGTCATTTGGCTGTTGTGTTGTTGTGTGTTTGCATAAAACATAGACACATTTTCCATGTTGTCTTGTTCTTGACTTTCAAGCTGCCATCCTAACCTGTGACGCTAGAATTATTCATGACTCTCTGATGTGAAACGCAGCAACTCCACAGGCAGTAGGCATCTGCAAACTGACAAAAGTTAAATAACATGAAGTCACAGGTTCTTTCTCTTCCTTGTTATGTAACCGACACTTTTTCCCCTCCTTTTTTTTTATTGTCCGACGCCTTCTGCTCGCTCTCTAAACACCCGTTTCCTTTTCTCAACAGTTCATTTGCCATGTCTAAGTCGGCGGTGAAGAAGCTGCACTGGCGTTCAAAGGTGCTAGACAGCTTTGTACCTCTGCAAGGTTCGTCGGGAGAGCTGGGCATCGCCATCGGTGGAGGAGCAGATTATGGAGAGTTTCCCTTTGTCACGTCAGCCCCGGGTGGTGGCCTCACTGTGGGTGACATCATCCTAGAGATTGGGGGAACACCAGTTTTAGGGATGACATTAGGAGATGTCCGTGGTATCCTCAACTCTTGCCCCCATCCTATCCGCATCAAAACTGTGTCACCAGGTATGACTCAGCACCCAAAACAGCCAACACATTAGTCTGCAACTCATTTAAATAGATGAGCAAATTATGGGCACAAAGGCGATGAAATGTGTGAACACAGGTCTGCTTTGTTTCTGGTAAGGCCCTTCACATATCTTAACTCTTAATCTGAAATTCCCACACTCTTACTGTAGACAGTTTACAGTGACTTATCACTGTTTATCTTGCACGCCATTGCACTTGTTTCATCTGTCTACACCCAAACAATCTGCTACACTTGCTTCCAAGCTGTCATCCATGATATTCCTGCACAATAACACCCTCCCTCCCCCGAGCTCTCACACTCCAAATCGTCGGTCTGTAGTGTTCTGCTCTGCTGATTTGTGCTTGTCAATTATGTCGAGAGGACTGGTTAACATGTGGGTAGGAGTTCAAAATGTTTGATGACACATGACAAGAGTGTGGCAATCGAATTGCCTGTCACTCGTAGTGGGGCCTTGATGTTTAGAACAGAGGGCTGGGGGAACGGATGTCTTTGTTGGCTGCGGACAGAACGATATGTCACCAAAGTGTCACCTGACTGCACCTCCCGATGGCCTTGCTCGCTAGATTGATGGCCGATTTGGCCACAGGGGCGTAAATGGGGACCTTTGCTCCTGGTCGTTCTGCTACCGGTAGATCCATTATCATTTCTGAAGTCTGCCTGGTCCTGTCTGTGCAGCTTGACTGCATGTGGTGTGGACAGTGATGGATGATCTGATGCTTTGGGTTTCTGTACCACACCTCCTCTGCTACTCCTACTACTACAACTCCCTCTGCTCCTGCCTCAGAATACTGACATCAGGCTACAGTCCCGAGAGGAAGCAAGCATTAATGCTGCAGAGAGAAAACAAAGAGCAGTGATGCCACACAAATCAAAAATACCCAACTTTAAAATTTCATTCTCTGGTTTTGATGACAGCAAAGCTCCAGAAAATCTTCTTTGCATTCCTGTTATTCCTGGCTTCAGACATATGCTTAAACATTGTGAGTTCATTCAGTTCAGATTTGAATTTTGCTCTTCAGCAGACTAGAAAATAGCAGCTGTTTCGTAACATCACGAACAAAGCCGCCATTTCTCCCAAAGGGCGGCAGGCTAGATTCATTTCCCTTTACAGGCAGCAGCCATATGTGACCAGTCATATGTACATGCTGCCTCCACTAATAAAGTTATATCACTGATCCTTTTTTTTAAATAGCCCTCTGTAAATTCTGCCTGCTCCTGGGCAGAACCACTGTAACAGCCAGTATGGATAGGGGGTGACAGGAGTGTGGATGGCTCGGCGACAGCCTTCAGGGGAAGCACTGACAGAATGGTCGTCTGTCAGACTGACAAACTCTAGACACGCTCAGTCCATCCATAACAGCACGTGGCCTGCCATCAAAGGCCGTAAAGCACGCGAGACGATATTAAGAGATCAGAGAGGAAACAAAGCCCCGCTGTGTTGATCGGCTCTGCCTCCTCTGGTGACAGCCTCTACCGTTGTGTCTGGAACAATTAACCTCAGTAGGCTGTTGTAGGTATACGCACGAGGAACTTGGACAGGCACGTTTAATTCTCAGGAGCTACTATGAAGTGATATAGAGACATCAGCAGGCTGTAAAGTACTGGTGCTAAATCCAGCTTGGCAGGAGTAAAAGTTAGCGCTTTAGATAAATTTAAGTATGCATCATCCTACTGTTTATGCTTACTGAGCTGATTTATTTCTTTTTCTCTCTCCTTCCTCATCTCTATGCCAAACTTGTTTTATGTGCCCTTCCCTCAGGCCCCACATTGTGTAAGGACCTCAGGTTGTATCTGAGTAAGTGCTTCACACCCGGATCAGTGGACAGCCAACTTCAGCAGGTCATCAGAGAGAACCTCTACCTCCGTGCTGTACCTTGTAAGTCCTCTCCTGGGTTTCACTTCTTATCTTTATATCCAGCATTCCTGTATGTATCTTGCCTTTGTATATCTTATCTTGTCTACTGCAGTTTCATCACCTGTGTCCTGATGCTACCACGTGGCATGCCCTAATAGCAAATGTATTGTCTCCAGGTGTAATTCAGTTTTATTTCACTGAACTGTATTCAGTTCATTTCAATGAAATTGTACTGAATTGAATGAAAATACTGATTTATAAGGGCATGTCTCTTTTATTAGTTGCTAATATTTTGTTTTTACACCAGTCTCATTGTTCCTGCCATGTAAACATGATGGTGTTAATTAGCATTTGAGCCGGCAGAATTGTTTTGATCACTTTCTTGTGTCAGTGTATATTTGTATGGAGTTTTTTTTTTTTTATGAAATATTAAACGTTGGCATATGAGAAATACATATATTTTAAATCAGCTTTTGGTAAAGCTGACTGAACTGTAACAGCAACCATTTGTATTGTCACAACACTGAGCCTTTTCCTGAGTGGTAGTCTCATGTTTACAATCCACATCCGTAAGCTGTTTGACCGTTTGTTTGGTGGGATATCTAATTCTATTCATGCTTAACAAGTTTTTTCTTTTGTCCTGGTGTTTGCATCATGTCCTGAAAATCAAGCCTGTGGTCTGCAAACGCCGTTTCATTTTGATGCCTATGACTAAAATCAAGCACAATGGCAGCCAAAGGCAGCTAGTTGTAGTGCATCTGTTGCTATCTTAATCCTCTGTAATATGACGTCACTGGAAACAGCCAGAGGATATAACAGCTGAGTAGAGTTTTATCAGAGAAGCTTTGTGTTTTGTTGTATTTTCCTGGCTTTCTTTAATAATATATTTTTTGTTGTTGTTGTTGTTGCTGGGGGGCTTTTTTTTTCCTTATTTTTTTCAGGTGGTAGTGTTAAATATACAACCCACCTCGTGTGTCAGTATTGTTAACCTTGTCGTGGCAGTGTGGAGTTTTGTTGCTAATCTCTCCTTTAGTCCATGAAGTAGGTCATGTGGGACAATCTGCCCCCGCACCACATGACGCACTCGCTGACAGAACAAGGAGCGGTTGAGAAGTGCGTAAAAGAGTTTAAACTGCATCTCTCAGTATACCGCATGCTTATTGTCATTACAGTGTAATTGCAATTTTAGCCACACTCCCTCATTACTTAGCCATGCATCTACACAAGCAGCTGCTCGGGGACTGAATCACCCAAATTAACATTAAGTCTTTCAGCTGTTTTGTAATGAGAACGGTATCAATAAGGAGGGGATCTTTATATACACAATAAATGGTTGTTAAATGATTTCACACGTTAGTTTGAGAAAACAGAGGATTTATATATGTTTACCTATATATCCATATTGATTAGATATGGATTTATCACTTGAAACAGTCCAGAGGATCCAAACTTGGCAAACTACCTCCCATCCCTGGGTGCTTTATTTTAGTAAGAGTGACAATAAAGCAGACTCAGCCCCTGCAAGTGCAATCCCCTGACCTGCTGAAGATGACACCACAAAGATGCTGTTCATCTCATGCTTATAGCAGCACAAGCATCTCCGAACCGATCACATTTCAAATTTGATCACTTGTAGATACGTAGAAGCTGAATTCTCTTCCTTTTTGTTGTTTTTGTACAAGTAGGCAGCTGTGTTTAACAGGAACTTAAAGCTGAAGAGTTTTCATCAGTGGCTCATTGTGGCCCCCTTCAGGATCATGTGCGTGCTCCTACTGCTCCCTCCAACACCTCCTTGAATTACCTGATACAATGAGTAATTAGCCTCAGTTCAGGTTTTAAAAACGTGATTGCCGTAGGGAAGCAAAGATGGTACGAGACTACCTCAGTTTTGACTCGCTTTTTTATGTGTAGATAGTTCTTCCCTGGAAACTGTGCTCAGTACCAATGAGCTATTTCAGTCTTTAAACCCTTTTGATGAGACAATGTTCTCTGATATTCAAGCTGGCACTGATGTAAGAAATAACATTACAAAGGCTCAGTCAAGAGGACAGTGCATAAAAATGGAAATGAATTGCAGAACTAAGTAAATGCAGGCTACTGTATCAATAATTCTGAGGTGGAATTAAATTAAAAGCAAATGTCTATCAGTGCCAAAGTGGAGGAGGGGACGGCTGCGGTCTAATAGCCCTGTGTGTGCAGAGAGGATGATCGCTGTGTAGCTTTGGAGAACAGGTACATGCTCAATAAACAATCCTGCACCCTGTGTTCTGTTCTTTTATACAGATTGTTCTTTTTTTGTCTTTTCATTCCCATTATTTTGTTCTGTATTCATGCTTTGCAGAATTTACATGACCCTCCTCAACTTTCCCATCCATATTTCTATAATCGCATTTGCACATGTGCCCTTGGATGATTCAGAACCAATGTCACGGTATCAAGGCTGGCTGTTTCTCTTTCTCCTCCATAAAAGACTTTTATAATTGTCTTCTGAGTGAGTCGGAGATAAGAAACATCATCATTTAGTTATTCTAATATGCTTGCTCCAGCATGTCACCCAGACTCTCTGTGCCCTTTTCAACTGCAGGATTTATTGTTGGCTATTTGTGTGCAGTGATCTTGACAGACAGCTCTCTCTGGGTGTTGATACAGAGTTCTGTGTAATTACCTCTTCAATCCCCCCCTCGCCCCGTCCCCCGAGGATCAGAGCGCCGCTTATACGGGGACAGGCGGGAAAGAAGATGTCAATAATCCATCCTGTCTCCCCGCCGACATGTCATATATGTCTCCGAGGAGGGTGCATAGATAATGAATCTGTGACTCTCACCATATCAGCTGGAGTGATGCTGTGTGTCCTGAGGGGAGGGGAAGAATCATAGACATGTCAGATGCCATCAGGAGATTTGCAATCAAATCTTTAATTAGTAAAAGAAACTGCTATTTTTTTTTAAGAAAAGCATCTAAGAATAGGTTTTTTTTTCTGTTGCCATTTTTGGAAACCAGAGGTGCAAGACCCACCCTGATCTGATACAGATAATGCATCACATCAGCCCTTCTCATCCACTTTAAACATGGTCGACAGTTTCCTAATAAGCTGGGACTGGAGCGTCAGACATCACTGGAGACAGTAAGCAGTGTTGGGAAGGTTACTTTTAAAATGTATTCCATTACAGAATACA